TTTTTTTTTTTTTTTTGAAAAATTGCAAAATTGGTCCCAAAAATTGCAAAATCGGTCCAATCTAACGTCTTCACGTGAGCCCCGTCAGTCTTGACGGACGTGGGACCATTTTCGCAATGAAAAATTAAAAATGATCATAAATGGCATGGTTGGGACTAAGTATAGGAAATAGTCAAAGTTATGGGACCAAATTTGCAATGTTCTCTTTAATAATAAAAAGTTCAGATCTAGTGGTTAGAATTAAATTATAATTAGATTAAAAAATTAATTTCAGTTATGACTTATCTTATTTTATTTTCGTTATTTGTTTTTACTTTTTAATATATATTCTCTTTATTATTCAAATATTTATATTAATTCGTAATAAATAATTCTTAGATATTATTTTGAGTTTATTCAAATATTATGATAATTTTAGAATCAACCAACCAGTTTTATTATATGCATGTATATATATAATATTTCTAAAAAAATATTTTTTTTATACCCAAATAGCTTACACAACACGAACCTATTTACACTATGCAGTATAGAGACCAAAATGCGATGTATTTGTACGCGTTTTAAAACAAATGAAGCCAAGAACGTGTACCAAAAATATAATATGAAAAAATAAAGATCTTGATTATAAGACGTAAACAATGTCTTCAACCAATCACCATGGTACAAAAAATCTGAAAAAGATGCGCTAATCCAATAAACAATATACCAAACCATAGCTCTAAACTCCGCCTAAAACATCCACTTATTCCAATGAAAAATGCTGGGTTATCATATAAACCAGATAAGTGGCACACCAATAAAAACGTCCCAATAAATCAGTCCAAGGACCAAATAGAAACTACTAGAAAAAGGGAAAATAGCACGGAGGCCCCCAATTTTGAGGAATTTGCATCTGAGGAACCATCTCCTGTTGTTGGCACATTTTGTGATCCACCCCCTGCGTCAAACATAAAAGTCGGTCAGTGTGTAATTAGTGTCAAATTTTGATAATCGGGGCATTAAAGTGCGGCAGGTGAAGCGAACCATAAGATGGTGAACCTATGTGCACCATCCATTCCAAAATTAATTGGTGAGGGGAGGAGTAGCCCACTAGACTCATTTACCCTATTAAATCAATGCGGAACGATTCACAAGTGATATTCCAACAATTAGTAACTGTAAAGGAAAAACATCACACCTGAATTTGTATTGGGAGAAGTCGATGTTGAACCAGGGGAGCCAGATGGAGAAGCAGCTGCAAATTTAAAAATAAATAAAAAAAAAAACTAGTTCATTAGATCTTATTTCTAAAAATTAATCGAATGAAAGAAGAATTTTGAATTTGAAGCAGGCAGGTGTTAGTACCGTTGCATCGGCTGGTTGGCGGTGTCTGGACACGGCAGGCCGCAGGGAGGGCGAGAGCCCGAGTTTGGTTAATGTTGAGGCCGAGATTGGGACCAGCGCCGTTGAGCACTTGGCAGAGGCACTGCGGATTGGACCCGACGACAGTGCGCAGCTGGGTGCAGCAGGCCGCGCTCGGGGATGAGGAGGAGTCGCTGGAGATGTAACTCAGGCACGGCGACATGCTCATTAAGACGTTGGTGCAGTCGCTAGATTGGCCCTCCGCGCCTGCCCACAAAATGGCGATCAGCCCAACGGCTAACCCCAATGGAACATGTGGGCGAGCCATATAGATAAAAGATGCTTTCCTTCTTTACACGTACTCTTTTATTCTTGTTTGTGAGATGTGGAGTGGACGTTGTTGTTTGTTATGGGGACTTTTTATAGTGAATGTGTTAATTGAAGACTTTTTTTTTTAAATTTTATTTTAATTTTTTTGTAATGGTGTGATGTGGTTTACCAACTTTCTCTTAATTTTGAAGTCTTTGAAAACGCTTTTTTTTTTTCTTTGTTTTCTTATTGTTTTTCGTCCCCTGGATATTATTGTGGAGAAAATGAGGATATTTGGAGATTTGTTAGTTATGTGGGTGAGCTAACTAAAAGTGCGACAGAATAATTCAAATTTTCAAAGCGATAAGTAGAGAATATCAAATTAAGGCATGGCATGTCAACGCATGTAATAGTCGGTCGTTTTTTAAAAGATTATACGGTCCTGTTACGAAATCATATTTCGTCGGGGTTTGTAACTGTTAGATCATCATATAATCATCGTGGATGGTTACATGATGATCTAACGGTTATAAATCTTGACGGAATGGTTTCGTAACAGGACTGTAGTATTTTCCCCTTTTTGGTATCGCATACGCTATTTGAATCTCAAGATACGTTAGTACAACACCCGTGTATTACACGGGTATTGAATTATAGAAATATTGACATCAAAATATTTAAAGATAATATAAAAAATTTATTTTAATTTTTTCGATACTTTTAAAATTGTATTGTTAGTTTTAAAATGACGGTAGTGTTATACATGAATATAATGATTTTTAATCACAATAGTTTTTCAAAAGTGTAAGGAAGCAATTGTAGTATCATTTGCAGTAATGAAAACAAATTATATATAAATAAGATATTATATGTGCTAATTACCTAAATACAAATAATTGATGACATAATTTGGAAATATCAACATGCTAATGCTAAAGATCACACAAAAACTATAGCTAAATAAATATATAAATAAATTGGCATGTATGTTTATTGACAAACACAATGTTTTAAATAGTGTACCATACCCATACTGACCGGTAGTGATAGTGATGTCGGATATGATTGACAGACCGGTACAGTAACTTTCTAAATGCCATTTTGGCAAAGAATACCGTTTTATATATGTTTCATACCAAAAAATACCGGCCAAAAATATCAGTTAGGACCCAGCCGTTGGCACGTGTGGCCAAAAATATCAGTTAGGACCCAGCCGTTGGCACGTGTGTTGCGGCCGCGCCAAAGGCGGTTGCTAATTGTGGAAGGCTGCACGCTAGGAGGCCGCCACGGCCAGTCGGCTGGCCAGGCCCAAGGCCGCCTGTTTCACCCGCCGGCCAACCGGAATTGTTTTTGTATTAATTGAAATATTATAAATATTTAAAAAAAAATAAATTAACTTTTTGATTTAAGTACTTGTTATTATATATGTCACTTATTAATAAATATGTTAGTTATATATTGAATACTAATTATATTAGTTAAATTATAATTAGTATTATAATAGATATAAATTGAAAAAAATTGTATAATTTTTTAATTAATTAGTTTATGTAATTATATAATGAAAAAGTGTAATAATATTAATCATGTGTTTATGAACAATTACTAAGTTGGCTTTTAATACTTTTTAGGAAAATAACTTAACAATTACCAAATTGTCGGCCGGCCGGACTAGGGATGTCAATAAAACCCGTAGGGTCGGGTTACCCGCGGGTTACCCGCATTTTCGGGTCGAGTAAACCCGAGATGGTCCGGTTTTGGGTCGGGTTCGGGTAGAATTATGCTACCCGAACCCCGGGTCGGGTAGGGTGCAGGTATAGTAGAAAAACCCGTTACCCGACCCGATTACCTTGTCGCTTACCCGCAACCGTTGAATTATATATATATACACACACATATATATATATATATATATATATATTTATAACTTATTTTAAATATAAAATTAGTCACGTGTTATTAATATTAAAAATTAAATTGTTTATTACAAGTTTGATTAATGGTTAAATTTTATTTTCTTTTTTATGATGTTGTAATCAATTTTTGTTAATTGTACAATAAAAAATTTAAATACTTAATTTTTAAATATAATATTATTAAATTGACAAATTTTGATCCCCTGCTCACGGTGGGCAGTGCCCACCACTTTGTTTTATATGAAAAACGTATTCTGAGAATTAATTGAAGAACGTATTCTCAGAATACATTTTTCATGTAAAATAAAATGGTGGGCACTGCCCACCGTGGGCAGGTGAGCGGGACTATTAAATTGACTATACAAGATAAATTAATTATATCTCATTATTTATTCCAAAAATAATATAAATATTTTTGTAGTTTTTATTGTCAAACTTAGTTAATAAATTGTTTGTTACATTATAATTTATTGTAAAATTATTTTATTTTATTTTTTAATATGAAACGAGATGAATCCGGTAAACCCAAATTTAAGAACCCGGGTTACCCGTTTACCCGACGAAAACCCACCAACCCGCCGGGTAAAACCCAACCCGAACCCGAAGATCACTAACCGGGTAACGGGTCGGATTTGGGTAGGGTAAATTATATGCGGGTCGAGTTCGGATTTGTCAAAACTCGTACCAGACCCGATCCATTTACATCCCTAGGCCGGACCGAGCTCGGCCCATGAAAACTCATCTCGTCGGAAGATCTTTTCACCGGACATAGCCTGGTAGAAAGAATTTATAATTTTCTGCATTTTTTTATTAAATGACAGGCAAAATAGTACAGAGGGGCTATGAAAAACAACACTTTTTTAGACATGACCCAGTTATCGTAAGATATTTTTTAAAGTAAAAATGAATTAAAAAGTAGTTCATTTGAACTCGTAACAAAGGTGTATATCATTATTCATTGAGTTCGCATGGTAATTGGTAGGGCTGGGCACGGTTCGAGTAACCGAGTTTTTTCAAGTATTTGCTAACCGAATCGAACCGAGCAAATATTCGAACTTGCTAACCGAAACCGAACCGAAAATCTCGGTTAACCGAAAAAAATCCTACTATTCGCGAATTAACCGAACCGAAACGAACCGAGCAAACCTAATACAATTCTGTGTTAAGTTTGCTCGGTTCGTTTCGGTTCGGTTAGTTCGAGAACCGAGCAAACTTAATATATATAGTCTAATATATATAAATATAAATTAGTTTAATATATATATATATTTAATATATTATATATAATATAATATATATATATATTATAAATTTTAATATAATATATGGTTCGGTTCGGATCGGTTAACCGGGGTAAAAAAATCCTAAAAACCGTAATCGAACCGAACCGAGCAAATACTTTCTTTGAGGTATTTGTAACCGAACCGAGTACCCCGGTTAACCGAAAATTCGGTTCGATTTAGATTCGGATCTACGATTCAGCGGTTCGGTTCGAATTTTTTGCCCAGCCCTAGTAATTGGAAATAATTTTTTTATAGTATTTATTTGATAAAATGATTTAATTTTAAAAAAGTTAATTGAGTGGTGATTTGAGTTAATTATTGTGCTTCTATTTAGAATTTAAAATATAATTATTAAAATTGATGTAATGTAAAAAGTATGAGAAATGTTATTAAAAATAATATGTAGTCAAAAATTATACGAGTGAATGAACATTAAATTAAAATTGATGTGATATGTGAAAATAATTGAATAATATTACTTGTAAAAGATATTTGTTAAATTTGAATTAAAAAGTTGTAAAAAAATTACAAAAAAGCCATCGTATAGTTTTCTTATGGAGTCATCACCACTTGATGTGTTGACACCTGTGCAAATTGTATTTGTCGTAGGACACGTGTCAATACATTATTAGTGAATAAGTGTGGATGACTTCATAAGTCTGATTTATTTTACAATCAATAGCATTTACTGTTGGGAAAAATACGCTGAAATTTCCATGAAGTCGGATCTATAAAAGTGAAATAAAAGCGAAAAATTGGACACACCAAATTGATAACGGAGTTCGGCCAATAATGCCTACGTCTCCGGACTACTGCAGATATTTTTATTAGGAGAAAAGAAAACACTCGTGTTTACAAAACACTCGCAAACTCACTCACAACTCATAGCTCAAATACCCACAAAAGCTAAATTTTTATAAGCTCTCTCGCTCTCTCTTTTCTCTCTTGTGTTTCTGTATTTGTTGTGTTGGTCTGCCATCAGAATCCCCCTCAATTTATAGAGGGGGAAGTGCACCGTTTTTTCCACGAATGGGTGCTGAATTTTTTTTTTTCTCCAACTGTGTGTTGCTACCTTTTTTATTCATTTTGGCAGAAACATGTGGGCTGCTCTTGTATTTTATTTCATTTGCTACTTGTCAAATGAAGTGGGTGGCACCCATTTCTAGACTCAACAATCTCCCACTTGAGGACTGATTTCAATCTGTCCTCACACCTCAATTACTGCAGTAGTCTTCTCTGGTCTGTTAATCTAGCAAGCCAACTGAAGTTGAGCACAACTTCAGTTTGTCAATGGTCACCACCTTCGTTAGCATATCTGCCGGGTTCTTGCTTCCTACAATCTTCTTCAAATTCAACACTTCATCCTCAAGAAGAGATCTAATGAAATGATATCGAATGTCAATGTGCTTAGTTCTGGAGTGAAACACCAAGTTCTTTGCCAGATGTATTGCACTCTGACTGTCACTGTGCAAGACACTCTCTTTCTGAGTGAAACCCAACTCTGCTAACAAACCTTGAAGCCATATCAACTCTTTGCTGG